TAACCAGCAGGGAGAGTTTCCTGGTCTGTTGAATTCTTATTTCTCCGGGTCCTGCAACCAAAGTGTCTGGTGTATTCAGCAATGGGATCTTACCATCTAGTTGAGGTGGGCAGGCAAGAACAATGGTAATGACCTGTATTGTTCTGGGGCCTTTCTGACCAATAACTTTTAAAGGCCAAGGACTACTAGTCCAAAGACACAAATTAAGAACCGCACTGCACTCCTGACAATGTCTAGTGAAACCAAGACATAAACACGCTACCATGGGATGTAGCAAGTTCTCTAACTCGGGGAAAGGAGGCTTGAGTATGAGGGGGAAATGTGAGCTGAGCTTAAATAAAGAGAGATGTCAGGCAACCCATGTGAAGACAAGAATGAGGCAGGCGTGGATGTAAGGGAAGAGGGCTGTCATATGTGACTATAGATGTGTTCCAAGTTAGTGAAAGAAAACCTCACTTATCTTTGAGGGCTTGGAATATAGTTCAGTGGTAGAGTGCTTGCCTAGCATGAGCAAGGCCATAGGCTCAATAAAAAGAGGGAAAAAAAGGAGTCGGATTGCTTTTATCCTGAGGGTTGGAATGCCAATGGAATGCTTTAAGCAAATGCGATTGATTTATCACAGGAGATCATGATGACAGTCCTGACGGGGAAAGGATCCCAGTTGAAGAAGAGCAGTTCTGTCAGAAGTCATGACATTGTCACAGACGGGAAGTGAGAGAGGCAGTGCTCGGTGGGGGAGGGGAGGGATAAATTCCAAAGATACTTGGGAGGCTGAGGGGCTGGGACGAGCTGACAGGAGGTGAGAATGTGAGTCAGAGAAAGGAGTCTGAAGCAGATGGCCAGCTCAGGCGTATCTCACATGCCTCCTGGGGACAGTGACTGTTGGGTCCCTGAGATGAAAACTTACCTGTACACGTTCACCACATGAGGAAAGCAGGAATAAGAGTCTCAGCAGGGAAAGGGGGACCCAGAGAGGAAAAGAGGCTAACGCAGAACCCATGAGCTGTGGGGGGCAGGGAGGGGGCAGGCCAGACAGGGCCTCTGGGCTCACACTGGCTTTAAGGGAACTTGCTAACGGAATGGCAAGGGCGGAGCCGGCAGAAAGGGAAGGGAGCACTGTGGTTTTGTTGAATGTCATCCCTGTGTCCTCTGCTGACCTTCAGGATTTCCTCTCCCTACTTTAAAAGGGAAAAAAAAAAAAATCTGGTCAAAACAATTTATCAAGAGTGAAGAAAAATTGTTACGATTCTTGAATGTCCTATTTTAAACATTTTATCTTTTTTTTTAATTTCCTTGTACTTCCCATCAACTACTGTCATTATGAATTAGTAGATGCTTTGTTGTGAAAAGATGAACTCTAGAGAAAACAAATGAAACAGTTCATGGGGGCAGGGGATCATAAATCAGATATTGATCCTCCCGTGTATCCCTCTCCTGTTCTCTTTCAAATTCATAGCCTCTTTTTTCCCATTGTTGCTGTTTGTATATATTTATAAATACATAAATACAGCCTGCTCAGTCTTTATAATTCGACTTACATGTATATATATTTCAGGGCTGACCACTTGGTATTGGATAATCAATTTCTGTTTTCCCTGGGGAAGACTCTTTCTCCTGCTCTCCGCATTCCATAGTTGCCTGCCATTCTTTGTGTAGGGTGAGGACTCATGAGCTTTCTTCTGTCCATGTTGGGTTTGGCTTTTTTTGTTTGTTTGTTTGTTTTCTTTAAAGATTTATGTTCGTTTTATACATGAGTATTTCACCTACCTGCATGTTAGGACACTGTATGCAATACACGTGGAAGCCAGAAGAGGGCACCAAGATCCTCTGGAATTGGAGTGACAGCAGGCAGATTGTGAGCCACGACGCAGGTGCTGGAACTGAACCCAGGTCTTCAGGAAGAGCAACAGGTGCTCTTAACCACTGAGCCATCTGTCCACCCGCAGACCTCTAAGTTTTAAGTCTTGGTCTCCAATGCAATTGTATTTCTAGGATCTTTCAAAGCTTTAAACTCCAAAGCTGCCCAGAGTTTCCCAGCTTTTTGGAGAAGCAAAAAGAAAGAACAGGTTAGAAACAATAATGTTGAGGTCAGAAGAAAAGGCGGATGATGGTAGAGAAGAGCCACTGGTTTTTTTCTTTTTGGTGTCGTCCCCCCCCCACACACACACACACATTGCATAGGAGCCAATCCTGCACGTTGTGAGTTGTGGTGTTTCTCTTTGTGCAGAAGTTTTGAGGTAAGGAAGAGGAAGTGGCCACAAAAGTCAAAGCAAAGCAGCAGAACCCATGTCTGCTCTCCACCTCTACCCGAGCCATTCTCTTCTTCCTGACCAGTGTGTCTAGGTGCCTTGCAGCCTAACACAGCACAGAGTCAGCACAGTGGAGAGGGGAGCCGGATGCGGTTCTTGGATGAACTGTGATCTGAGCACACTTGACCAGCACGCAGATGTCGTGAGCTTTCACCGAGACGTAGATTCATTGGAATGTCATCTGCTACCTGCTAATCTTGATGTGTGGGGGAGGGGGAGCGGGGGGAGAGGGTGTGGCTCTGCTGCCAGACCCACTTCTCTGCTGGGCAAGTAGAGGGGAGGCCGCAGCTAGCAAACTGCACTCAGATCCCTGGCACGAAGAAAACCATTGACTCTGGGCCAGGTGATTTTCATTCTCAAACACATCAGCGGAGGAGGCTTTAAATGCACAGTAGAGCAAATGTGGTCACCAGCACCAGATCACCACACTTGAAACACGATGGCCTTGGCCGTTGGTGTCCACCTTGGTTACTATTGTAAGACACAGAATATTAACTATTACTTTTTTTTTTAATTGAGTGGAAATGTTATCAGTGCTAAGATGAAACAGCAATCATAAATTCTACTTCTGATGTGGAAACAGAGAAGCAAGCATATTGACAGGCAACAGGTGTGAACGGTAATCATTTTCCTGGCCAGATGGGATGGGTCTGAGTTGGAAAGGTAGAAGAACTTAGTGGGGTAATAAAGAAGGAAGACTGATATCCAACGCAGGCATTTGATCCTGGGAGCGATAATTCTAGGAGTAAAATGGTTCTCTCACTTCCGCTCCACACACCCCCAACTCACTAGCTCCTCCGTGCTGGCTTGTGTTACGCAATACAAGCAGCACGGGATGGGGGAATAATGGCTCAGGGCTCCTACCCACAGAGACAGAGATGATCACCATGTGCTTAAAATCACTCCTGTGGGAGCCCTGAACATTGAACAAAATGTCCAGAAGTGCTGAGGAGTCACCTTGGATTGTATGGCAGATGGGAGGTCCAACGCTGGGTTTGAGAAAACTTTGAGGGATCTTATTTTTATTTAATTGTTCAGATTTCCCTGTGATTTATCCAAGCTTTTATTGGGAAGTAGCCACACAAACAATGGAAACCTTATATAGTATGTCAGTTTCTTTTTAAAATTATTTTGTACATGACGTGCGTTGGGCATGTATGTATGTTTGTGCCGATAAGCACAGGTGAGCACATTCGCTGGCATGGCCGTGGATGCTTCTGGTGTTGGATGTCGCCTTTCATCTTGTTTGAGATGTGGTCTCTTTTCCATTCACCACTGTATACACCAGGCTTTCAGGACTATGAGCTTCCTAATCTTGCCATGGGAGGGTTAGGATTGCAGATACGTGCTGGCACACCCGGCTTTATCTGAGTTTGGAGGATTTCAGCTCGACTTCTCATGACCGTATGGCAAACGCTTGACCCGCTGAGGGCTTTCCCGGACCATCAGTTTCTTTTTAAGACATAATGCACGTAATCCTTTCCAATTCTACTTTCACGTATCACTATCTCAAGAAGGACGGTAGGTAACAGAAAACATGTTCTTCGTGCTGTGTCTTCTTTCCCGATGGAGGAAGGAAGGCTAGGGCTACATGCTATCCTGAAAAACTTACCGTGGAGACATTTTCCCTTTGCCATATCGACTATGCAAACAAACATCATTCTCAGACTGCTACATCCCAGGAGATGTCAAAACACCACACTGAAGGGATGTTCTGTGAGGGTAAAGATCCCCAAAGGGACCTGATTCATAGGACACGAGTCCCATGAATGTAGCTCTCGGTTTCCTTGGAAAGAACAAGAAGAGGATCCTGTCTGACAACTGATGGGGGGCACAGAAGGAAGGGATGGATAACTTTCACGCTAACCTTTTTTTTGCCCCTTTTACAGTCCTTTCCAAAATACAAGCCTTTCTTGTTTCGAGAGCTGTCTGAAATAGATTATTGGCCAGAGAGGGCAACTGGGCTGTAGTTCACTAACTTACAAAGGGCAGCTCTTACTGGGAGTACGGTGAACATCTCCATCATGACCTCTGCGAGGTCATAAGCCGTGAAGAGAAATAACTTGTCTTATTCATCTTGCTGGGCTCGGGATAGTACTCGACTTTCACTTTTGTCTTTAATGTTACAAATAAAGGAAGAAATTAAGTGAACGTTGCTAAAATCATAATGGCAGTTTCTTAACACAGATTATCATCCAGTGCCTTGTTTTCTCCTGAGTTTGAAGTCTCACAAGAACATTTGAAGTGAGTCCATGGGGCTCTCCAGCACACGTGGTGCCTACATGCACCCCATTTCGTCTCTAGACCATGGCCAGAGTTAGGCCCCAAGCAGTGCACACATTGGTTGCAAGGGTTGGGGGGACTTTCCCAATCTAGAGTACAGCTTGGCCTCTACCACAAGGTGACAGGTCCAGGCTTACAGGCAGATCTTGGAACCAAAATCCTTGTAAGTCCTTGCCCTCATCTACAGTGGTAGCTGACAGAACTTTGGTTTCGCTCTTTTGAAGATCACATGCTTGGTGAGAATGTCAGCAGAAGTACTTGGGCTGAATAGACACTTTTCAGTTCCCATCTTTTCTCCCTTCTTGCTCAATATCCTGAGGACATCATTGAACTTCTCTCTGTGTGTGTCAGCCTGGCACAGGGAGGAAGGGGCAGCTCATTACCATTCCCCTGCACACGGCCCTGCCAGGCATCAGAATATGCCGCTGTTCTTGGAGTTTGAGTGCAGGACAGACCCAGCAGCTAAAAGCCAGGGGATCCAAGCCGTGCCCCCCAGGAAAACCCACTAAATGAGCCTATCCACCTTCCTACCTTCTTCTGCAGCAACCAGGTAACAAGAATGCCCAGGTCTCTCATTTCCCATCAGTGTGCAGATTTTTATAGCAGGGAATGATGCCACCTCCAAGTTCTGGCAGATTATGCTGGATGAATAAGTGAAAGAAAGGCACGTTCTGTTGGAAAATAGCAGAGGAGATGGACATCAGATACTACATCTCAGCCTTAGCCAGAAGGGCAAAAAGCAGATTTAAAAAAAAAAAAAAAAACCGTAGCCGGGACCGTGTCTGCCTGTCCCTTGCTGTGACTAGGCAGACCCCTTGTGTCTTGCAAACCTCTAGTCCTTGCAACAGAGGCACGACCCTATTGTCTGGAGAGCTGGGCACCAATGATTTGCCTCATTCTAGCTCTGAACCAAAATGTGGCTTTGTCTTGCTGATGGGGGTGGGGGGCACTATGTTCAGTTTCCTTCAGCCTTTAAGATATGGCAGGGCATGGGGCTTCTGTGAGATTCCCACACTGACGGAGGAAAGGGGACAAAGCCAATGACCCTCGTTCTCCAAGGAGGCCCTGGCCAACTGGACAGACAATGACTAACAGCTAAGAGTCAGCCAAGGAAGACGTTGAGAATAGCCAGGGACTACAGATTTGGGTTGCAGCTTTTCTTTTCTTGTATGTGCGGCTGCTGCTTTTGAAGAATATATGAGGCTCCCCCCTCCCCTTTTACTAGATTTATATTGGAGTCATTAAAAAAGAATGGACCTTAGACTCTGCTTCCTATCTGCTGTGTAACTCTGAAAGAGCCATAAAATGTCTGTAAGTTTTCTTCTTTAACAAATGGATGTGATGATCGTACTGGCCACGTGGGTTTGTTGTGGGGATAAAGTTACATGTTGAGAACTAATATCTAACCTTAAATTATTGGTACTTGTTGTATGAAATATATTGGCACCAGGTACAGGTTTGCTCATGTAGAAAAGTAAAAGCGTCTGCCGTCGCGCAAGCAAAGCCATGGATAGATACAGCCTTTCTCTTCCTGCTAGGAGGGGAACTTAGGAGACTCACAGATCAACACATGCGTATACAAGATCACACACACACTTCAGAGAGTCTAGTGCCCCAAGAAACGAGCAACAAACAACAGGTGAAGGTGTTCTTTCCAACACAACCCCGTCTTTAAAACCTTCCATGCAAGGCAATCATTAGCATCCAAGGAATTATTTTAGCACGTTCCAGGAACACTGTGAGAAATCTGGTTTCATATTTCAAAAAAAGGGAAGAAAGGCTGGAAGTACTTAACTTCCACAGGCTGGAGTCATTTCTACTTCCTCGTCATTTTCCATCTCTTTGACTTCCTAACCACCCCCGACACACACCACCACCACCACCACCACCACCACCACCACCACCACCACCACCACCACCACTTCTTCCTGGAACCAGAAGACCCTTCCTTCTCTCTTCCTCTGGAGAAATGCAAGTCTTGAAAGTTGGCGCCGCCCCACAGAGCAGTTATACTGACATCTAGTGGCCCAAAGATTAAGTGCACATGATGGCTGGGCCGTTTCTCAGCAGTTTGGATGCGTGCATGCTTTTCAGCATCCCACTTGCATCAGAAGTTACCAAGGCAGGCAAGTGCAGGGGTGTTCCTGGGCCTTGCATATGTCTGAGGTTGTGCTGGGAGCTGCCTCCGAGTCTACGTTTCTACAAACGAGAACACAGAGAAAGCCAACCATGTCTTATTATAAGATCTGGGCTCTCAGGCTCCTCGGGTTTGTATGAGGGTTGTGAAGAGCCGTTTGGTTTATGTTAGACCAGGTTAGAGTACTGTGAGTAGTGGGGAAATGGATGATATGTCTGCGCCTCAGTCTCTTTATTAAGTTAAGCACAGATTTGTTAGGTGACACCCAAAAGTCTCCTGACCCAGCACCCAGCAAGAAAGCAATCCACAAGTTTATCTGTTTTCTGTCAGCTGCTGTCTGTGCAGCTACCGATGCCACGGTGAGGGGGGCAGTGCAAGACAGAGATGCCGAGTGAGGTCCCGTGGGGCATCAGAACAGATCCCTTACTCTGCTGCTCTCCTGTAAAACTGTGGGGCACTGAAATGCCGGATGTTTAAGGCTTTGTTTCTTTCTCAAACACTGCGACTCTATGATAGAGCCACCAATTCGACTGGTTTAGCTATAAAGTCCAATTTTACGTCCTTTCTTGTCACTAGAGCTTAGGACTAAGGTGATGGTTTTTTTTTTTATTAAGAATTTTTTTCATTTATTTACACACCAATCAAAGATCCCACTCTTCCCTCCTCCCACCCCCCAGCCTCCCCCCTTAACACCCCCTCCCATAGGGAGGCACATCCAGTAGAGGCAAGTCCAAGCCCTTCCCCCTGCCTCAAGCCTGCATGAGGTGTCCCATCACAGGTAATGGGCTCCAAAAATCCCCCTCATGCACCATGGATGGATTCTGATTCTACCACCAGGGGGCCCCCCAAGTAAATCAAGCTACACAATTGTCTCACCATGCAGAGGGCCTAGTCCAGTCCCATGCAGGCTCCACAGCCATTGATCCAACTTTCATGAGTTCCCACTAGTTTGGTTTGGTTGTCTCTGCAGGTTTCCCCATCATGACCTTGATGCACTTGCTCATAGAATCCCTCCTCTCTCTCTCTTACTGGACTTCTAGAGCTCTACCTGGTGTCTGGCTGTGGATCTCTGTGTCTGCTTCCATCAGTCACTGGAGAAAAGCTCCGTGATGACAGTTAGGGTAATTCACCAATCTGATCACTGGGGCAAGCCAGTTCAGTTCAGGCACCCTCTCCACTATTTCTAGTAGTTCAAGCTGAGGTCATCCTTGGGGATTCCTGGCAACTTCCTTAGCACCGGGTTTCTCTCTATCCCCATGATGTCTCCCTCTATAATGGTATCTCTTTCATTGCTTTCCCACTCCATCCCTGTTCCAGCCCAACCATCCCATTCCCCTATGTTCTCATTCCCTATCCCCTACCCTTCATTGCCCACCCCTCATCCCCAGTTCACTCATGGAGATCTCATGTAGTTCCCCTTCCCAGGGCAATCTATGCATCCCTCTTTAGATCTTCCTTGTTAGCTAGGTTCTCTGGAGTTGTGGGTTGTTGTCTGGTTATCCTTTGCTTTACTTCTAGTATCCACTTATGAGTGGGTATATACCATGTTTGTCCTTCTGAATCTGGGTTACCTCACTCAGAATGATATTTTCTAGTTCCATCTATTTGCCTGCAAATTTTATGATGCCATTGTTTTTCTTTGCTGAGTACTATTCCATTGTGTATATGTGCCACATTTTCTTTATCCATTCTCCAGTTGAGGGGCATGTAGGTTGTTTCCAGGTTCTGGCTATTATGAAAATTTCTGCTATGAACATAATTGACAATGTGTCTCTGTGGTATGATTGAGTATTCCATGGGTATATGCCCAAGAGTGGTATAGCTAGGTCTTGAGGAAGATTGACTCCCAATTTTCTGAGAAACTGCCACACTGATTTCCAAAGTAGCTGTACAATTTTGCACTCTCACCAACAGTGGAGGAGTGTTCCCCTTGCTCCACATCCTCTCCAATATAAGTTGTCTTTTGATCATAGTCATTCTGACAAGATGGTGTCTCAGAGTTGTTTTGATTTGCATCTCCCTGGTGACTAAGGATGTTGAGCAATTCCTTAAATGTCTTTCAGCCATTTGAAATTCTTCCTTTGAGAATTCTCTGTTTAGCTCTATAGCCCATTTTTTAATTGGATTGTTTGTTATTTTGATGTCTAGTTTCTTGAGTTCTTTATGTATTTTGGAGATCAGCCCTCTGTCAGATGTGGGGCTAGTGAAGATCTTTTTCCATTCTGTAGGCTGTCATTTTGTCTTATTTACTGTGTCCTTTGGACTACGCTGATTCCTAATTACTGTACAGTTGCTGAGCAGGGTGGAGGAATTGGAATGGCCTCTGCAGTAACCCCCAGACCATGTCCAGAGTGCATGTCCAGGCAGAAGTGAGAAGCCAATAGAAAGCTGTAGAAGCCAAAAGATATTTTCATATCAGAAGCTAGTCTGGGGATTATCTGGTAATGTGGAAAGCCCCAGACTCACCTTGCTTATGTAGTTCTGCTAACCAATTTAGTTGTAGAAACAGGAGACAAGGAAAGCCATGAGGCTGTATAAGCTTAGCATATACTTTGTGTGATGGTTTGTCTTAACTGTCAACTGGATGGGATTCAGAATCTCCATGGAAACAGATTTCTGGACATGCCTATAAGGAGTGTCTGATTAGGTTAATCAATGTGGGAGGACCTAGCCTAATGGAGATGTATGAGAGGTGACAGTAGCTTTGACCTTCCTTTTCCTGTGTTGTAAGTAGAAAATTGCTGCCATGTGGTGGTGGTGCATGCCTTAAATCCCAGCAGTCTGGGAGGGAGAGGCAGGTGGACCTCTGAGTTCAAAGCCAGCCTGGTCCTCAGAGCAAGTTCTGGGACATCCCGGGCTACACAGAAAAAAAACCTGTCTCAAAAAAAGGGGCAGGCACGGTTGGGGGTAGAAAATTGTTACCAGTGTTAGATGAGATTTGCAGAGACAGTTGACTGCAGAGGTGGTCACCCCATCTGCTTTGGTCTTGTCCTCTGTGTCTCCCTCCACTCTACCCCCCCTCCACGCCTGTTTTATTTAGATATTTCAGAAATGGATCTATCAAATCTCAGAGGCTGAAATAGGAGGAGTCTGAACGCTTCCAGGCTAATACTTGCGCCAGTGAGTTTATCCTGTCCTAGGGGATGGCAATTGTGTAGTGGAAGTTGCTAAGACCACGAGGAACTGGGGCAGCAGCAGCAGCAGGGCACTGTCTGCCCAGTGTTCTAAGCTAGTGCAAAATGACCAGTCGGAGGAGCCCTTCACTCTCAGCTCCCCTTCTGAGAGTCTCAGTGAATTCAGAATCAGGTCGGCAGAAGCCAAATAATGGAGCTTTAAAGTTCTGAACAGGAACAGGAACAAAACAGTGTGTGGAACAGTAAGGGGTGACTACAATTTGAGCAGGGCACTTTATT